CTCTTGTCACATATTTGTCCCATTAGAAAATATGAATGACATTGCAGCCGACTTTTTTTATTGTGAAAATAATAATAGTGATAGTTTATTTCCTAATAAATTAAAAAAATATATTAAATAACTTATTAATTTTTCAACTTTTCCATCTAATAAATCCTTTTGGAAGTCTAACAATGTTTAATTATATAGATTTTAATGTAGAGTTAATATATACTTTACTTTCTAGTGGTTAAGATACTGTGCTTCTCGGTGACCAGGGTTCAAATCCCACCGGGAAAGGGGAGAGGAGTGGGGGTTTACCCACATTGAAGTGTAGTTCACTGGGGTGGATTTTTTTTTTTCCAAATAGTTCTCACATGAATGGGTTGACGAATATCCCCAACAACACAAATACCAAGAATATCTACACATTTCATACTAAAAGCAAATGGTGAGAAATTAAATGACAATCCAATGGATGATGTGATTATTGAGTAGATTCGAGTTTAATTCCTTCCAAGAGGCTTTGAAGGGCGGTTTTTTTTCAGATATTTGTGGAGTTCATCGGGATAATAGTAAGCGTGAGACATCCACATGAATTTAACTTAGTGATTAATGTAGGAAAAACTTACAACAAAAATTTACATCTGTTGATGTGGCTAAAATTAAACTATATAACAAATAAATGGATAAATCTCAAGTAAAACATGTAAAAATGGGCGAATATGATTTAATCCATTTCATTTCTTCTCACATTTTCTAGTATTTTTTTGGTATATATCATTATCTTTAAATTATCCTAGTTAAGTGCATCAAAGAAAATTATGTCTCGTTGTAGTCTGTTATTAAGTCTATTAATACCTAGGAAAAAGTCTGATCATGTTTTTTTTTTCAATCAATCAACTTGAGATTATTGCTAGGTATATCCCGTAACTTGCCCCTGTTTCTGCTTTAAAACATGTTTAATTCACCTCTTTCTTACTTGTAATTGTAATATTTAGTTAGGAATTATATGTTTCTAATTAGGGTTTATGACTTTTGCTGATTAAGGGGCCGAATTACAAATATAGATAAAAGGTAGGCAAATTGGTGCAAATTGGCAAAGTTTTGGGCAGCAATAAAAAATGGCCCAATTGCACTGATTATGCAATTCCGAGAAGAGGAAGGAGAGGCCGCAATGCTCGGTTCGAACTGGGACCAAACCGGATCATAAGGTTCTGGTTCTTGAACCATTTTCAAAGGTTCTAAAACCGTAAACGAATCTTCTATAGGTGGTTTCGTTAAGTTTATATCAGCTTTAAAACGTGAACTGGCGGTTATAACCAATGGCAAGGATACATAGCCAAGTGGCCTAAACCAATGGCTTCGAGATTTGTTATATGAAATACTTATGTGGCCTAAACAATTGCGCCAATGTCTATATATTGCGGTAGTACCTCAACTTTGTCAAATGTCTATAGCCAAGTCTACAATTGAAAATCTAGACACTTAGGCTTAAAACATTGTATAGTGAGAGACCTAATCAAAAGAGGGGTAGTTACAATTGACTTTGAAAGATTAGAAGAAAATTTGGCTGATCCCATAACAAAAGGATTACCTAGAGACTTAGTGTCTAAAGCATCAAGTGTGATGGGGCTAAAGTTCAATTTTTAAATCATTAATGGTGGAACCTCAATCTAATGCTTCACATATCATCAAGTCTTAGGTTCAATGAGTCAAAAAACATCATTATAGTTGATTTCACTAATTATGTCATCCCAATTTATAGAGTGCTTATTTATCTCGCCAGATACAAGAAAGATGAATATGGGATTCTTAACAACCCTTGAAAAAGTCACAATAGGCGTAGACATTAAGAGGTTGCGTAAGTAAATGTAGGATTTAAGAGCATCCACAAAGTTTTGGACTTAACTTTGGAAACATTTATGAAAGGATAAGAGACACACATGACCCTATATGTCATTTGTATAACACAACGATAGGAATAAATCTATGTGTGATTTGCAAGAGTGAGACCCTATGTGTCATTTGTATAACACAATGATAGGAATGAATCTATGTGTGATTGCAAGGGTGATTTGTTGGTATGAACTAATGGTTCAAAGCTTGTCTACTGTTATGTTTCAATGGGGGTCATAAATACTCACTAAAGTTTTGGTTCAATCAAAAGACACCAAGATCTATGCATAAATTATTAAGGAGGTTTTGTGATTCAATAAAAAAGAACCATTCAAAATTTTGAAAATGGTTGGGGATTGTTGGAATATTTTCACTATTTTGAATATGTAAGTTACGACTTGGTTATGTCTCATCAATGGCATGAGTTGTTTTGAGTAAGATAAGATTAACTTCAATGTTATCTTCTACACTCAAAAGATGAGTTAAAGTTTTACTACTTTCATTAATATATCTTCTAAGTATTAATGTTAGAAGTTGATGTTTAATGGTTGTAACTTGTGTTTGTAATCTAATCTGCACCAGTTTGTACAAAGGCTATTTGGTTAATATAAATTGGATTGCTTGTGATTCATTTACTGCATAAAATTGATCCACAAGAATTAAACCTTTCTTGCCTTTTTCTTTCTAATGTTGTAGATGGATGACTTAGTTTAGTGCAAACTATTGTCATCAAATTCAAATTTTGTTGAAGGATATTTGTTCGGTAACTATGCACATAAGAGAGGGCAAATAAAGTCTGAAAGAAAATAATTCATCACGATTTAAACCTTTCTTTCTTATTCATTTTCCAGCCACTCCAAATTAAATAACCAACATTTTGATTGTAGAGATGGATAGTAGAAAATACAATATTTAAAATGTTTAACGTGAATATTTTTTCTGCTCATATATAATTAGTGATGGGTAATTTAACTTAATCTAATCTCTTGTGCACTTATTTTGAAGTTTTTATTAGATGTAGCAAACAAGTAGCTTTGGATCTATTGTTGCCTCCAGCAAGGATACATGATGCGTGTATAAATTGAGAGACTAACAGAAGCAAGAGGGATTGAAGTCTTGAATAAATTTGAGGAGACAGAGTCAGGGAAATTGAAGATGATCAATGCTTGAATGTTTCAATAATCTTGAAAATACGAGGTTGATGAATAATATTGGCAAGAAGATTAGTACATATAAATATGATGTTACCTCTTTATGTTTCTCTTGGATCCTTTACGGAATAGTTGTACTGTGTATGGTCTATGAGCCAGATTATGATTGTTTTTCACTGTAATATGTATATTAGTTGCTATTTTGTGGGAAATGTGTAACATCTGAGTAATTCTTATTCATTTTGACTTAATTTGATGAATTGAAAATAATCCAAGAAAAAATTATAGAAAACCCATTAATGTTATCAAAATATTTTATTTTTAAGTGATAGAATGCTGCATTAATGTTCATGCGAGAAATATTGAAAAAAAATGAAAAAGGAGTAAAAAAAAATACATAAAACCCAAAATATAGACATATGTTAATTTAATGGTAAAAGATTTTTTTCCAAATGGTTCGAATTCTTACTCTCTGCCAAACCTGATGTCAGTGACCAAGCAAAGATTGTCCTAGACGGAACCAACGTTCAATTTTTTTTTCTGTACAAACTACTTAAATTTTTCGAGGATACTACCATTGAAGAACGTTTTCGCGTGGCTGGCGCCGTTTATTTGAAGGAAGACGTTGAAACCCGATGGGGAATTTCTGACCGGGATCCCGAATTCCACGGTTTGGAGATAGCGGAATACGAGAAGAAACTGATCGAAATCTTAATTTTTTGAACATCAATTTTGAGTTCTAGCATTGAGGTCTAAAGGTCTCTGTACGATGCAATTGCTATTATAGCTGCATATAGTTCCCCTGATCGCTTCCCAGCATTGTTGAGGAAGTTGATTTCCCATTTGGTGGATATGACTCATCTAATTGAGGGTGCTCCTCCAAGAGATTTTCATGGTTTGGACTTGGACCATTATACCTGGTAAAAGATTTTTTTAACATTAATTAGAAGTGTTCTCTTTTTTAAGACAAAAAAAAGAGTCAAGCTCATAATTATAAGTTTAAACATGGTCATAATATGTTTCAAATTTTTAGACCAAAAAAAACTATTTGCACTAGTACGTTTCACTTCCACCCTAATTCCTACGTTTGTTTCTTGCTACTCAGTGGTTAGCTCCTCCTTGTTGCAACGGCTGGTTTGATCAACAAAGATAGACAATGCTTGCAACATCCCAATGTTGACGTCCTTGGCCGAATCAGCTGGCACCGCCACTGCGACCCGAGGAAGCACGGGATGTGGAGAATCCTAGATGGCGCAGATTAGGACCAAATCCTCATGAACATTTCGAACAATCAACCTTCTGTGCACCAGGAAGTAAACCAGATGCCTAACTCAATGCTAATTGGCTCGTAACGCCTCTAGAACTTGTTAAATAGAAGTATCTCAGGCCGATCAAAGCAGTAGAACCATACCAGTCTGATACCGCGGTGTGGGTCATATTTTATTTTGAAATAGAGTAATTGTCAAAAATCAATGGCATAATTATCATTTAGTAGAGTTTAAAGGTTGAAACTAAAAACCACTACTCCAACCCCTGTTCTTTGTCAGACAGAGAGTATCGTTTTAAGTTTGTCTTTTTGGTAAAACCTATTGCAATAATATGATCAAAGTAATCAAACAAGCGTCCACGTAGAAGAAAATGACTAGGATTCTAATTGCTTAAAGTATATCAGAATCCGTGATTAGAAATATTCAAATAAAAGTGGAGTCCTGCTTATCCAGATGATTTCTTCTCCATTGTCTCTGCATCCTCGGTCTTGGAATAGTAATCTTTGGACCAGTCTTTAAAAGAGCCCACCGTTTTCTCAAATGCACTTAGCATTTCATCTTTCTCAGCCACCTCTTCTTTCATTAGGGTAACATCAGTTATTAGGCAAAAAATCTCCGTTTCCTTCTCAACCACTTCTTGCTCAAGGACAACTTTTTGTTCAGTCAAAACATAAATTTGTTTGTCTCTCTCTGTCACACGTGTTTAGATTTCAGTGGCCTTCAGATCAAGATTTGAAGTAGTCAAAAGCACAACCTCCAAACTTGGTAAGTCCAAGGAATCCTTCACATCTTTCCTCGACCTCCCCAGCTCCTTCAACACATCATTTTGCTTCCTGATAAGAAGCATCAGAGAATCCTTCTTAGTCGCATAAGAACCTGTCCCCCTCATAACCGTGAGAGCTTCCTGTAGAATTGCATGAGAGTTAGTGTTAACAGCGTTATCCTCCCCAATCCTCGGATCGCCTTGAACCTCGGCGGTGGCAGCATTCTCCTCTGCAACCTGAAGATTTGTAGCTTCTGCAGCTGTGATTTTCTCAAGATGCATCGGAGTGCAATCACGGTGACAACCATTTTGTGGGAGCAAGTCTAAGTGTTCATTGTTTTGGGTACCGCGGTGTGGCTCGTTAACAAGCCAATTTGTTGGCATTTTTAAGTGTCACTAGAGTATATCTTACAAGACACTACAATGACCTTAAATACTGTATTTCAATTCATTTCCAAATGCCTTTATAGCATATTTTTTTATTCCATTTCACTAATCATCACGTTGATTTTAAAGTCACTTACGAAAAGTGTCGTATTAGCCTAAAATGTATTATTAAATAGCATATCATAACAATTTTTTGTGCATTAAAAGGCTTTTTTTTTTCTCCTAGTAGTGACTCTTGAAAAAAATCTCATGTTTCTTATTTCTCTCTTTCAAAATAAAACCCCAAACATTATATGTACATATATAGAGACTACCGTATATTTTGAATTTTAAAACCCAGAAAATGAAGGATGATTCATCCGGGGAGGTGATGATGGAGGAAAGAGAAGAGCCAATTGTTCCATTTCAGTGAAGAAAAAACTGTTAGTTTTATTTCCAAAAGCCTATTATTACTATGATTGAAATTTATATTTATTGCCAATGAGTTTAGGAACATAAAGGACCACACAAGATATGAAAGTCACTTAGGGTAATTAAGAGAATAATTTATATGATAAATTGATTACAAGGAATTATAAATAAATAAGTCATGGACTTTAAGGTTTGACCCAACCCTATATGAGCGAGTTATAAATAAGTCAGAGACACAAGTACAACTTTCGGTTCCGTAAACAAATAATCCAGAAAACTAGTTTTCATGCGCTGTGTTTGCATCTCAAGAATTGTTCGTGTTGATATTGTCAGGGGCTGAAAATTTGAATAGTTATGTGATCAAACTTCACCATTTGTTGATTATGATGGATGTATATACTGTTAAGGTATATAATACTTTATTTTATATTATTCTTAGATTAAAAAGTGAACTTTCCATGAAATCAATCTATATTTATTCCCTCACGTTAGAACCATTAGAATTACCCATTTTTTCAACCCAACCATGGCTTCAATAGAGACCCCTTCTATTGGATTTTTCCCTCTACCAAATATTAGTAGCAACCTTGAATCTGTGGAGGGCATCATATATCATCAGCCATGGATGGAAAGGCCCACAAAAACACGGGGAAGATTGATTGTATTGCTTAAAACCTTTATATGGAGATACAAGGAGGAAAGTTAGAATATTTGATGCAATCCATTTATAGTCAATGAAAAAATTAAAATCCAAAAAAAAAAAGTCATTAGGTTAACTCTCTTTGGTAGCCTAAAATTTTCCGCAAAAACCAAGTATATGGATTGTCCATAGTAAAAATAAGCTAAATTTTTTGCTTATATATATATATATATATATATATATATATATATATATACCCTGGAAGGAACCCCACTAAAATAGAAAAAAAGTAAACAAATGAGGAAGTGGGTCGCAGACAGACTGCCACTAAGATAATAAATGTAAAGACACAAATAAAGAAGTAGGCGGTATAAACCTGCCATATTTGAATTTATATAATGCATAAAATAAATGAATACTTTAGTTTAGGCGGTTATAAACCTGCCATTTTACAAAAGTTTAGAAAAGCTTACAATAGTTTGAAGCTTGTAAAATGCTAGGAGAATGCTACAACAGTTGTAAGAATGAATACCTTACTTCAAGTTTTTAGAACTTGAGAATGATCTTCAAGCTTACAAATGCTTGTCTTGAGAGAATACTTTGCTCACAACTAGAGCTTACAACTAGAGAGGAGAAGTGGGTAAGATTAGAATGAAAAACTTGTTTCTTCCTCCTTCCTCATTCCTCTATTTATAGCAAAATTTTTGCTGCTACAGTTCCCACTACAGTACCTGCTATAGTGCCCGCAAACCCCCTCCCCCCCTCCCGCTACAGTAGCTACCATAGCTGCCGTGTACCGATTCTACAAAAGTTGCCATGTTCCGGCATCTATAGTATTTTCGAGAAACTACAATATTTATGGATAGTGTTTTATTTTTATTCTATGGGAGTGAATATCCCATAGCAATCATCCTCATTTTCCTCTACTTGAAAATCAATAAGGGATTTTGTCAAATTTTGTTGATTAGATATGCTTGATGACGTTGATGACTTGAGTTGGTTTAACAGATCTTCTAATAGCTTGACATAATCATCCTTTGATGCTATTGGTGGAAATCTTGACTGGATTAATGATTTTTGTTGCAGGAACTGAAAATGGTGTGGATCATTTCCTGCATTATTTTTTATATTTTTCTTAAACTAGGCTTCAATCTGAGGTGGTGGTACATAAGAAATATTGACCTTTTCCCCCACTAAGTATCCTTGCCTGACTAATGATGGTGATGTGTGACGGAGAAGTCTAACAAATTCAAACTTCTATTGGTATATCCAAGAAAGTGAAAAGATAGAAAAGAAGTGGAGGAAGTTTGGTATATATTGGAATCCGTTATAAATTTGGTTTGAAAACTTCTATAACTTTCTCGTACATTTTTCTGGAGTATTTGCGGTTGTGGTCCAAATATATGCACCAATTTTGAAACCACATTGGAAAATAATAGGTGGCTCCTCTTTTGAAGTAGAAAAACGAAGAGTGTTTAAAAAGTTTGTTTTGTAAGGAAAACAATTGGAACCATGGATCTCTATAGTCCCAATATGTATAATAAGGATGGTTAAAAGTTAAAGAAAACTGTTTGGATGTGTTTGGGTTTCCCCATTCTTTTGGTCTTATTATTTCTAAGATTTGATAAGTTAAATGGATAGGGTTTCCATTTGTTTCATGATGTTTAAGGGAAACAGATCCCGTATCAACAAGAATAAATTCGTAGAATATTTGAATGTGAATTGGGGATTCATGGATAAACTTGGTGCTTTAGGGTAAGATGTTTTTGACTAACTCTTGAGGGTTTTCATTCCAGAAATCTAGTTCAACCTGCACAATCTAGATTTAACTTTGATTTTTAAAATATTCAGTTGTTCGAGATTTTGAAACATGTAATTTCTGGACCATCTGATTTGAGGGAATGGGGTTTCGACCATCATTCTGTTTGAAAGAGTGGGACTGGAGGTCACCATAGTTTGTGTAGTGTAGCTAATCTCCTCCCTTGGTTAAGATTTTATTAATTTAAATCCAGCTACTTGTGCTAGAGCTTCAAGGTTAGAAATTGGGTTAGAAGTTTGGACTTGTAGGCTTTGTTGTTGCTCTTCTTCTGTAATAGCCAGGTTTTTACTGCTTGAAGGGATGTTGGTTCTGTTGTTTGGAGATTTTGAGTGACTAGAGCATAGTCGTTTGGTGATTGTGCTAGTTTACGAGAGGCTTTTGAAGATGATACTTCATATTTGTTTGCGGCCGAAGTTTTGGTCACTTGTTTGGATATGGTAAGGCTAATTGTTCTTCTTTTTTCTTCCTGAGGAATCATCGACCCTACAAAAATTCTCTTGTTAGAAAATCAGATCGAGAATTAGTCTCACCTTAAATATATTCAATGTCAAAATAAAAAAACTGAGAGAATTGCTTGCTATCTAGCAAAAGTTTGTTTTGAAGAAAGATTTTTGACATCTTCTTCTAATACATATTTAGCACTTTTATAGTCAACTCTAATTATGATTTTTTTGTTTAATAAGTCTGCTAAAAAACAAAGTCTGCTTGAAATTTAGATACACAAAGAAACATAGCTAAAATTTCCTTACTTCAATAGTAGAAGATTTTTGTTGTGTGTCATTCCATCTTTTAGATGTATATGACACAATATTTTCTTTTTCATTTTGCTTCTGTTTAAGTATACCTCCATATCCTAGGTTAGATGCATATGTTTCTACTATTTTTAATGCTAGAGGATCAGACAATGCTAAACATGGTAATGCTTTTACTTTGGTTTTTATTTTTCTAACTGCCTCTGTATGTACATCAGTCCATGCGAGTGGTGTTTTCTTTAGTCTTTCGTGCAATGACTTACATATTTGTGCTAACATAGGAATTAAATCAGATGTATACTTTAAATATCCTAAAAGTCTTTGTTATTACTATTTTTCAATTATTTGGTCTGAAAATTTGTCAACAAATGCTATTGATCTTTTGATTGGTTCAATAATTCCTTGATAGATATAATGACCTAGGAATCTAATTTTTGTCCGAAATAAGTATATTTTCTTTTTTGAAACTACTAAGCCATTTATTTTTGCAATATGCAAGAATGCATTTAAATGTTTATTCCTAGAGTGACTTTAACTTTGTGTCTATGTGTTTTTATAGATGTACAAAGTAAAGGTTGTTTTATTTTTGGAGGACTTCTAAAATTCTTCTACTATATCTTTTCCTACATCATTTATTAAGGATTTAATGTTAAGCTTTCTAATTCTTGTCGTGCTTTAATTTATTTTATCAATACAAGATTTCAATGTTAACCATATGTTTCATTCTTTCCCAAAATGCATTTGGAATATCAACACTTACTTTATTTTCTATTTTTTCTAAAAGTGCTTTACTTTTACTTTTATATGATCTTCATTTAATTGGGGTTTGATGCATTTGTACTTTATTTCTTATTTTAAAAAATTTATTTGGTTTGACTTATTTTGTAAAAGATTCAATTCTCTTGTGATTGGTTTCTTAGTAAAAGGTAATAAAGCATTTCCATAGATTATACAAATAAAACCATCATCCATAGCGATATAAGGATGGGTTTGAATAATAAAATCAATGCGTAATATTACTGAATGTGTAATATTTTTAGCTAGTAAGAAAGATACTTTTATGGAAGCCGTAGAAAATTTCACATCAACATCTGAAAGTTTTGAATTAATGATTAATTTACAAAAGATGCTTGGGTTGCCTCCCAAGAAGCACATTATTTATAGTCTTATGCCAGACTTCCCTGCAAGATTACTTAAGATCATGGAGTGCCATGACATAACTGCCCCGTTCTCCTTCAGACTGCATTCCCAAATATGGTTTTAACCTCTGGCC